GTAGTCACTGAAGATTTGAACGACTGTTACCTTACGGAAAGTACCGCCCCCCTGAACCTGCTATTCATTTCTCCCGATGTTTATCCCCGTGTAACAGGTCCCCCTTCTGATATGCCCGTTCAAGGTGTATGCGAACGTGGCGGAGCAGCAGTGGAGCAAGAGGTTGGAGTCAGTTCGCAAGGACATCGAGTGCTTGTTCGGACGACTCAAGGGGCGGTTCAGGCTCTTCAAGACCGGGATTTTGTTCGGCGACCGGACAAAGATCGACGACGCATGGTTCACCGCTTGCATCATCCACAACATGCTCCTCGCGTTTGATGGGTTGGATCAGCTGGAGGTAGACATGGACTGNCGTGTCCCCTGTCCCCAGTGCGCAGCATATTGTGTGGGTAAAAGTATATTGTAGTACGCACCCGTTGCGCTCCCTTGTATGTGTTGGTGCAAATAAACGCTCTTGTTGGTGATTTTTGACGATTTGACTGTTGGTACAAGCATGTGCGGAGAGACGCAAGGCGTGTCGAATTTTGTGGTGGGTGGGATTAACTCTCAGCGCCGAAGGTAGTTGAGGCGGGGAGGGGCGGTGCGATGTATTGTAGGAGTTTATATCTTTTTTCGCGGGAGACGCAAAGAGTGTTGGAGTTTTTGGTGGCTGGGAGAAACATCCAGTGCCGAAGGTAGATGAGGGGAGGGCGGAGCGTTGGATGTTTTCTTGGAGTTATTTTTTTCGCCGGGGAGACGCAAAGCGTGTTGGAGCTTTCTTTGTGGTGGCTGGGATAAACGCTCAGCGCCGAAGGCAGGTGGGAGGGGCGGGGCGTTGAATGTTTTGTAGGAGTTATACTTTTTTTTGCGGGGGAGACTTAAAGCGTGTTCGAGTTTTGTGGTGGCTGGGAGAAACATGCAGTGCTGAAGGTAGTAGAAAAGGGAGGCGGCGCTCGATGCTATATTTTTGTTTGCGGGGGAGACGCCAAGCGTGTTGGACCTTTCTTGGTGTTGGAGCTTTCTTGGTGCCGAAGGTAGATGAGAAGGGAGGGGGGTCACCCTATCCACGGTATTGTGTATTGTACTGGTCGGGCGGGGGAGGACGGAGGCAAAGTTGAACTTTTCACGAGAGTACACACCTCAATTAAGTATCACATGCTGTCCTGTTCGTGCAACAAAACCGAACATGAAGGATTGGTTCATGTATCGTTGCGTCACCTTGGCATGCAACGTTGCGAAAAGAACTTTGGGTACGGCCATCGGATATTGGTCCGCCATCGTTTTCTACCCATACTGCGACTTCACAGTGGAGGAGGCAAAAAAATATACTCCAAGAATACCTTCAACGCCCCGCCCTCCCTTCTCATCTACCTTCGGCACTGGATGGTTCTCCTAGCCACCAAAAAACTCCTACTGCACCCTTTGCGTCTCTCTCGCAAAAAATATATAACTCCAAGAATACATTCAACGCTTTGCCCTTCCTTTCTACCTTCGTCACTGGATGTTTCTCCTAGCCACCCAAAAAGTCCAACACTTTGTGTCTCTCCCGCAAAAAAAAAACGCCCCTCCCTCTTCAACCACCTGTTCTCAAGCACTGGGTCTAAATCGCATCCAACACACAACATGCTTTGTGGCCGGCCTCCAACAAACCCAACACCAACAAAAGGGTAGTACCACCCCCGGAGAGAGAGCTCGCAAGGGAAGAACGCATAAGGAAAAGCTCTTCTCACGAAAGCACCCCTTCATGCAGGAGCGTCGCCAGCTGCTTCTGGAGATTGGGTTTGGCCATGACTGGCAGCATGAGCAGTTTTTCGATGGATTCGATCTCCTCTTCCTCGCTGCCGCCGCCGCCGCCGTCTGCTCCCGAGCCGCCGCTTTCCGCTTGAGACCCACCATCTCCTCCATCGACGCCACCAGTTTGCCCGAGTTCTCGTTCCCCTTCTGCATAGCCTGCAACGCTTCCTTTTTAAGGGCCGTCGCCTTTTCTTGTTGCGCCATGTTTTCGTTGTCCCTCTTGTCCCGGCGAACCCTGTCAGTCTCCGCATTCAAAGCTGCTTGGTGCGCGCGACGACTCACGGAGTTGCCGTTGTTGTTCTCCATCTTGCGCGCCGATGCAGTCGATTCAGCCAATGCTCCCGGGCTCGAAAGGGGGCCGGATGCGATCTGGTCGCCCTTCTTGTTCGTCGGAGCTTTGCCGTCAGACGCGGATAGGTTTTGCCACTGGGTGGGACAGTTCCCGCCCCAGGGAGACCACGCAGCAGCGATGATGATGTACGGGTGGAACCATCCGTCAGGCACCGGGGTTGATTCCCCCTTCCCCGCTGTGTCTTGCTTGCCCACCGCCTCCCCGCCACCGGAGCCCACGCCCGCCCCTGCTGCCTCCGCACCACCGGAGCTCGGAAGCCCGCCTTCGCCCGCGGCGTCCACCTCGTCGGCACCATGGAGGATGTAGCAGAAGCAGCTTTCCAACGGACGCACGGCCTCTGTCGCGCACTGCCAGTATTTTTTTCCCTGCAGCGTGAGAGAGGGGTGCAGGGGTAGTGACCGGGGCGGAGAGTTAGGTCCACATGTTGAGAAGTAAAGGTGAACCCTGCTTGTTGTTTTCGTAGATGGGTTCATCCGCCTACCTCCCCAACCAAAATCCCCGTCAACGCGGCCAATACATGAACATGGGAGATGGATGGGGGCCTAGTTATGAAAGTATAAACTAACCCTTTTGAACAAAATCGTTGTTTCAAAAAAAACGAGTCGGGACGTTCCTACGCGACGACGCTCCGGAGACCGACCAAGTTCATGAATGGCTATGCACCGTCAATACGATATCGACTACCATTGGCACACGTTTTTTTGAACAGGAAATCGTACGCAGAACAGTCGTACATGGGACAAGGCAGGACGCAAGCTTCGTGGGCGGCAAGAACAAAGAAAACGAAAGTCTAATCACCAAAAACCTTGAGCGACATCGTCGCACGAACGTACAAGTTGGAAAATGTTCGTCTCGCCGAGAGCAGCAAGGTTGCTGCCAGATGTGGGGATGACGCATGAACAGATTATTGCTCCGGCCGAGCCATGTTCCCCGGGGCGTGCATATTGATGTTGGGACAACACGTCAACCCCCCATGGCGGGGCACCACGCAGCAAAAAAATGCTCCCCCCCTCNTTCTCGCCGAGAGCAGCAAGGTTGCTGCCAGATGTGGGGATGACGCATGAACAGATTATTGCTCCGGCCGAGCCATGTTCCCCGGGGCGTGCATATTGATGTTGGGACAACACGTCAACCCCCCATGGCGGGGCACCACGCAGCAAAAAAATGCTCCCCCCCTCCCCAGGCGAGACAACAGGGTTTTTAAGTGTGTCCGCTCTCACTCTCAGCACAAAAATTCTCAACATTTGTTCAGGCTTCACGAACAGAATAAACCACCACCAACGCGCTACACACGACACTCACGTTCTCATCGACGGCAATGGTGCACTCTTGCGGTGGATCGCAATCGCACTCGGGCTTCGGATCCATCTCATGTCCTCCTGCCGACCCCTCTCCTGCCGACCCCGTACCAACCTCCTGGAACCTAGCCGCTGCCGCTGACAGAGACCCAGCATCGGCGATCACTGCTGGTGTTGTCTGGGTGAGGTCCACGGCCTCCGCCTTCTTGCACTCGTCGGAGCGCTGCCACACTTCCTCGATAAGCTTGGCTGCGTAGTCCTCGGATGACTGCCCCGATTCAAATTCGGACGCGGTCTGGGGACCTCTGCACGAACAGGCCGCCGGATGGTACACGGGAAGGATTGCGGTTGATCGATCGCAAAATTTGTTTTCTTGAGTGGCGCTGTACGTAGGTTCGACAGGCACGCCTGCACTTCTTGAAGTCGGGTTGAGTTCATGGCCGCCTGCCGCGTGCCTTTGCCTCGGAAATTGCTCTAGATTCATGCGACGCTTGAGAGAAAGAAGCGGGGTTACTCGGCCGATTCTCAACACTGCCATTTCAACGGCCGCCATTCAATGCCGAGTCCATTCGACCTGGGACCTGGGTGTGAGTTTCCTTGATCGAGCTGATCACAATCCACTTGATTGAGTACTTTTCCGAAAGCTTATAGTAAGGCTCTTCTTGTGCGGTGCTGGAAGGTACTCAAACCCACAGCAGAGTGCATAACCCCACCCCGCCAGGAAACGTCCGCAGCAAGTCAATACTACCCTCAAGTACAGGTGCACCTTCACCGCACTTCACTGAGTGAGTTGATTTGTGGTGCTCATACAACACATGGCACCTTGTCTGCTGAATTTTTGTGACTACCTCCGCTACTCACTCGTCATAGATGATCTGGATCTCCTTCGTGTAGTCTCGCTTGATGGTTTCCCATTTGGTCCAGCAGGCCCTGGGTTTATCTTTAAACGATACCGCCGGTTTTTTTCCTGCAGTCCAGTCGCCGGAAGGAAGCGGAAGATGCTTACGCGGTCTACGTGTATGGGGTGGGTCTAAGGCTCGACCTACAATCAAGTAGATCTCGATAGATCTTACGCGACAGCAGCGAAGACAATACGCTCTCGGCAACTACTGGGGTGTGCATAGCAAACAGACCTTGCCCCACGCGCGGAAAGGCAAGGTTGAACAACGACCAGGCTCGCCTATGAATTAGCGTTTATTATTTGGAACAGAGGCTCAGATCGCCACGACAGTAGACTACCTGCTGCTGTTGAAGAGTGCGCAGTTGCTCTCGTATGCTATCGACTATAGTGGAATGGATTCGTGGGATAGACTACTATCTACTAGTCTAAGTTTGGACGGTGCACGTGTCAGAAGTTGCCAACGACGAAACAAGCACCTCACGTGGGCTTCTCGGCGTGTCGACTACACGTACGTCATATCTACGCCAAAACTTTAAACATCCTCAGGCCTTCACGCCCGCGTGGATCGAGTGCAACCGAACAACACTGCATCCGTGGATGCAACATACCTGTGCCCAACGACGTGAGATACATCTTGTCCTCGATGTCCAGCGGGAGCGGCAGCTCAAGCTTCTTCGCTGCAGCCTTCGCCAGCACGATGAACTGCGGGATGGCGAACTCCACGAGGGTCTTCGTACACACCACGTCACGTTCACCTTTATCCATCTGTTCTGACTGCTTGCAGGTGATCGCGGCGTATGCGATCGGGAAGGCTTGGAACGTCTTCTGAGCAAGGGCGCTCATGACCTTGCCGCCGGTCTTGAGCAGCACAAGCCGAAACGCTCTCAACAGATCATTGCTGAGGGGAACGCCGAGCTTCGACTGCTCGGCTTCTTCCCGCGCCCTGAGAGCAGCCTCCTGGGCTAGCGCTCGTGCAGCGGCAGCTTGATCGGCCTCCATGACTTCGCTGAGCTGCTTGTGTACTGGTTTGCGCTGAGTTGAAGCGCGTCCGTTGCTGTCTTGGCAGGGGCACGCTGCCCCCGTATTTTGAAGTCCACCTACACCCCCCCCTTGTTTAATCAACGATATTGTGACTGAAACCCATAACCACGTTTGGGCCGTAATCTTGATCTTGGGGGGGGGTCGCATTTATCTTGCTAAGGTTTTGAGGAATCAAGATCAAGATTTTTCTGCCATAAACAGTGGTCTGACCCCTGTGAAGGATCGGTCCGAAGTTTTTGTTCGGCAATAGACCGTGTGCCAAGCGGTGTGTTTTTCGCACGAAAGAAAACATGGCCCTTTTTGACTCGGATAAACCGAGGTGTTGCTCGTGCAGTACTCGCTGCTTCTTCAGATGCACTCGATATTTATAGGCTGTGCACCGGAAATAGACAGGCTTTGGAACGACCGTTTGAATTGTGTAATAATCGCGTTACATACCGGCGACGGGACGAGGAGAGCTAAGCACAATCGAGGACGATTCGAGATTACATTACAAGGTCAGCCTCTAACGCATCTTGACCAGAGACTGAACTCGAAACCTCGAACAGACTCGTTTAGTTTGGCGCCTCTGGTCCCGACGTGGTTGTTTCGCCATCACCCAGTCCAAATGGTTGTCCCACATCAAAGACTGACCTTGCGGCCTCGAGTCGTCTCAACTTCTGGTGCTCATCTCTGCACAACACTTGCATGATTTCGATTTCTGTGAGAGGCGGAAGAAATATGAATATTATGATACGGCATGCTGTCGCCGACACTCCAACACAAGTATGCATAGAGTTGGTGAATGAGGGTGTTCGTTTTTGCTGTAGTTGGGTTCACCTTATCATTGCTTGCGTGGACGAACGCTGACCATGACCTTGCCAATGCACAAATATAGCTCAGCAGAGACTTGAGAAAATAGCTTTTATTTTTTGGGTGCTTCTCCAGTCCCTAGGAATATTGGATATTTTCGGTTTTTCGCGTGATTCCACCAAACCCACAACTCTGACGGAATTTTTCAAGAAAACCCATAAGTTCGGAATCGGAATATGAATGCCATGTCTCCGTCATTTCCGAATTGTCGTAATGACGCTCTTGGTGAACGAGGGCGCCTTTCGAAGATGCTGTATATTGTTTTTCCCTTCGCGGTACAGACCTTTCGGCCTACGCCGGTTACCGTTTAGCAATAACCGGGTGTACAAATGTACAATAAACGTGTGTAGAAGCATTATTTCGCATGGTGGGGAAGTCGGCAAACCAAGTTATTTTTGGTGTAAGCGCATTCTTCGGCGTTGAGCAAGCGTTTTTCCTCGCTGATAACGAACCCGATGCCAAATCTATTTTAGCGCGAGTGATCAAGAACCAAGTATGCAATTGTGCCCATACGTGAGTTTCTGTCAGTGCGTAAGGCCATCTTTCCGTATCATCAGAATGTTAACAAATACAAATAATAGTACTTAGTTGCGCGTTTCATCAAACATGGTTTTGATCCGGCTTCAGGACGCGTGTTGGCTCGACTTGCTTGCATTTGTCTATATCAATTCGTTCTGAGCATGTTGAACGCCAATAATTCCAACGCATCCAACACCTATACTTCCACGAACCTGACAAACCGTCGACTTGCCACCACAATGTGCATACATCGTCCGACGATGGACTTGCCGCATACAGGAGGGGACGACATATTGAATGGCAGGTGCTTGAGCATTTCGGGAGAGTAATATCTAGTCTATGCGCCCTTCGATGTTTCCGAGAACCATAGTAACTTGGGAAACCACTAATGGTACCTGGGTCTTCCACATGCCCCACGCTGGCGTGAGCGGGAGAGCTAGACGTTGGTGCCACCGCCCTGCCACTCCTTTTGTGGACCTTCTCCTTGCCCAAATACCGACGGGGATCAACGGCCTGTCCCCAGTATGTTCCAGGCTGGAGCTACCACAACAAACCCTGCCGACACGTCTCCTACGAAAAGAGCGTAAAGAATTTCGTCACATTTTGCGACTGCTGCGCAATGTTGTGCATGCACCACCTACTTGCAACAACAAAACCGGTTGCACCATTGCCACAGCCAACTCTGAGCAGATGTGCAGCTGGCCCTTGTCATGTTAGTTCTAGGGAGGTCCGTAGTTTGATCGTCCTGGATCCAACAACCTTGCGTGGTGATTTTTTTTTCTTCGGTGTTAGTCCAATCAGGACTTCCGTGCGCGTATTTTCATGCCGTTTTGGGCGCCTCGCATCTTCGTGAGCACCCCCACACGAACACAATTTACCAGTGAAGTTGGAACTTGCCAACGGAGCCTACAGTCTTGTAAGACGGGCGATGCGATGGCTGATTCGCTGCTCGGGGTGCGTGCAGCGGTCCGCGGGACGGGCGACTCAACATCATCTTCCTGGTTTGCAGCTTGACAGTCTGGCATCGAATGGGATTGAGAAGTCGGAGGAACCCATCACTTGGATGCGGAGAAGGCCGAGGAAAAAACGCGGTTTTCTCAACTGCGGTTAACGTTGGAACCAAGCTTGCACGGAGAGCGAACGGCTGCAGCTGTTACGTTTCTTCTACCCAACCCGGTTGAAAATATACATTGGGGGACTAAGCATCTGTTGCCTATAACACAAACCGAATGCTCTTCACGTTCTCTTGCAGGGAAGAACCCACAAATACAGCGTGATCCCCAATCTCGATGGCGTGGCGGAGGTCTGCGGTGAGCTTTCGTGGGCTGGCGACAGGGAGGAGTTCGGTAGACATCAGCCAGGTCTGGCAAATCGCGGCGTAGGCAAGCGTCGGCCGCTTCCGCAAGGGCGCAGGTCTTCATCTCGGGGATTTGCCTGCTTTCTTGCGATGAGGGTCAGCCTGCGTTTCCGTCCACCTGCCCCGTGGTACTGGGCAGGGAAATGGGCGTCAATTTGATCGTGGCGTGCTCTCTACATGTTGTGTATGGTTGTGGATTGTGCAGATGCTGATGTGGACTTCCTTGGAAGCAAGGGTAATCGATTTCGGTTCATCGATGGATACGGTCAGCAAAGTTTTTTTAGGACGGAGGAGAGGATTGAACAATAAAATATGTAAACTGCCTAGTCTAGGGGTTGGCATAGTAGACTTCGAGGCAAAGATAAGCTGTTGCCTGTACCGCACGTAAGCAGCCAATGGCGCACTCGCGAACAGTTCAAGACGTGGTGATGTTCATCTTCTGCTTGTGCCGGCCACACCCACACCGCTCCTCCTGTCGGTCACGCCCGCCAGGCCGCCCTTGACCTTGAAGCTGGCGCACCGTCCGAAGCTGGCGTACCGTCCGAACTATTAATAGACCACCGGGGTGACCGGCTCTTTTCGTGCGCGGCACAGAAAAATATTGAATATTTACGCCCCCGCGATGTTTTCGTCGCTTGGCAACGACGTTGTAAAACAAGCCGCCCCCCCCGGCAAGCTAGACTTCAGTGGGTTGGCGCTGTTGGCAAAGCGCTGTAAAACACGCCACCCCAAATATAGCCCCCATAGTATGCGCTACCAAAGACGCGTGACGCATGGATGCGTGGAGTGAGGATTGCTGATTACGGAAACCTCACAGGTTGAGTGATGTAGGAGATTGCCGGACACATAGACGTGTTGAGTGATTATAGCTGTATACTGAAACCCCACGGAAAGGGGAGGTTTGAGATTGCCAGACACATGAACGGATTGCGTGGGGATAGCTGCTGGAACCCCACGGGTTGAGTGATGTTGGAGTGCCGGACACATAGACGCGTTGAATGAGGATAGACACATATTGAACCTCACAGGTTATTTGTATTGGAGATTGCGAGACACCTATTATATAATAGACGTGTTGAGTGAGGATAGCTGCATATTGAAACCTCACAGATGCATTGGTGCCAGACACA